ATTATGTTAAAGATAATGACAAAGAGAGTCGTACAGCTAAGGGAACCCAAAAATATGTTATTAGAAAAGACATCAAACATGAAAATTACAAAGTGGTTTTATTTGACAACAAACAAATATATCATAAAATGAAAACCATACGAAGTAACAAACATCAACTTGGAAGCTATGAGCTGAACAAAGTGTTATTGAGTTGTTTTGATGATAAGCGATATATTCTTGAGGATGGGATAAACAGTCATGCCTATGGACATTATAAACCGATGAATTGTTAAGCCATTGGTTCTTTCTCTTTTTTTAGTGTTTTGGTCTTTTTATTTTAATCACTTATTGGACAATTAATTATTATATAATAGGTGAATGACATATGTTGTTGTTGGTAAAGATTTTAAACATTTGAAAATGAGAGCCAAGAATCTATATGGAGCTAAGGATTTTGAAAATAGTCCAATGAAAAATAAGAAATGCCGAGTGACTTTAAGAGACAGAACAAAAATTGATTTTGATGATCAACGTTTTGAGGATTATTTAATTCATGGAGATGATGAGTGGCATAAGAAGTACACAAAACGAGCGCGCAAAATTAAAGACAAAAACGGTAACTCAACTTTTAATAATAAGAGAAGTTCTAATTTTTGGTCTTACCATTTGCTTTGGTAAAAAATAAAATATTTATATAATACATACTGGACATCAAAACAACAGCGATTGAAACAGCAGAAACATTTGATAGAAAATATTTTTAAGTTATAAAAGCAAAGAAGAAATTAATAGATGAGATAAAATCATCATATTTCTTTACTATATTTCCTAAATTTGATTTTATTGAAAGAATGTTAATAAGATGTGATAAAAACCCAGAAAGATTAATTGTACCAATCAATAGACACACCAAACAAAAACAATTGTTTAATTATTGATCAAAAATAGGAAACATGTATGTTTATTTATTAGTTGATAATGACAAGTTTGAAGTTTAGAAACGATATCTTTACCTTTGTATTTGTTATTTATTTTTTTCATTACAATATTATATTAATATGTAATTGACACGTTTCCCATACTACCTGCCTCAATTAGCTTCGCTATATTGCAGGTAGTCTTAATTCAGTATAAGTTAAATTGTAATTATAAATAAAGATGTTGTTGTTGTTGTTGTAGTTTGAAGGACCTGAAATTGTAAGATTTTCAGAATTAAATAATTAACTAATATGAGTGAATATAAATTAACCATGTCACTATTTAAAATGAAAACCATCCACAAGTTCTTATTATTCACACTTTTGGTGAACTTCTTGGAAGGAATAAAAAGATGCAAAGGGTTTACAACAAAGGAATAACCGATCTTATCATTATTATAAACAATAAAAAGGTCATTTATTGTGAATTAAAGAAACCTGGTAAACCACTTACAATGAGGTAAGACCAATTAGAATTTAGAAAGAAAGTAGAATACCGAGATAACTATTTGGTCAGCAATGATTTTAATAAAGTTGTTGATTTTATTGATTATCATGTTATGAAATACAATTATTTGAATTTTAAGAAGGTAGACAATGTTCAAACTTCTGCAACGACAGGAGGACATTATTATAAGTCTGTTCCATTATTTCAACTAATCCTTCATTTAATTCAATCTTAGCTTCTCCCATAATTTTATTGGCTGCTTCTAGTTTTCTATTATATTTTTCAACAAGTAAACCCATAGCAAAAACGGGAAACTTATCACAAAGATTCGAACGTAGATCACTCATTTATATCTATTGGTTATATAATTCAATTAGGTGTATTACCCTCTTATCAACCATTGATGTTCTATTTGAGCATAGTTTCTGGCTACACATATTTCTCTTCAAACGTGCGTCTTGCAAGAATAATACCAGTTCTTTTATGATATCATTATAATTTGACGATATCATGGTTTTCATATTTTTATCTTTCAAGGACTCAAACATTTCTTTTTGTTTATCAGATACTTCAAAATTATTTGTGGGCGACTTGAGTTCGATAGCAAAGCCATTGCAGTCTTTATGGTTACATAATAATAGAATATCAGGCTGACCAGAAGTATAACCCTTCCTATAGGCATTTAATTTCTGGACGAGGAGTCCCACGGTTGGTGGGGTGATATCTGTTATGACATGGATAAAAACAAAGGTGACTGTGATCGGCAGATGGTTCAGTCATTGGATGAGATACCTTATGGACAGATGCCAAAATGGGGACAAACAGGTAGATTCTTGATCAACACCAAACAAAAATTAGGTCTTGGTGTAAAACAAAGGAAGTCAAAGAACGGAAAAAGCCGTCTAGCGAAGAAAACTGGCCAGTAAAATTAGCAGATGAATTACATAAACCCATCAAGCGCAACTTTACTCGGCGGCGTATAATTGTAAGTCACATTGATGAAATATGGGCTGCAGATTTGGTTGAAATGCAAAAGTTCAGTAAATGGAACAAAGGCTATCGATATCTTCTTATGGACATTGATATATTCAGTAAATACGGTTGGATTGAGCCTTTGAAAGATAAGAAGGGTGAATCCATAAGCCAAGCTTTCAAAACCATTTTCAAAGAATGAGGAAAGCCAGAGTTCTTATGGACTGACAAAAGTAAAGAGTTTTACAATAAACAAGTTGAAGAATTGCTGAATAAAAATAATGTCAAACTATATTCCACTGAAAATGAAGAGAAATCATCTGTTATCGAACGTTGGAATCGCACAATTAAAAACAAGATGTGGAAACAGCTTACTGTCCAAGGAAATACCAAATATCTTGACATTTTACCAAAAATACTGAGTCAGTACAATAATACAAAACACAATTCAACAAAAATGACACCCATTGAAGCCTCCAAAAAGTCAAATGAAGGAATAGTCTATTTCAAGCTGTATGGTGATATCAATACATCAAAACCAGAACACAAAATCGATGATAAGGTTCGAATATCAAAATTTAAAAGACAGTTGTTCGATACAGGCTATACTCCAAATTGGAAAGAAGAGATCTTCACTATTGATAAAATACAATACATGAATCCAATCACTTATCGATTACGAGATTTAAACAATGAAGAATCATAGGTAGTTTCTATGAGCCTGAATTATTGAGAGCTAAACGAGAAATATTCAGAATTGATAAAGTAATAAAGAGAGATTATAAGAATAAACAAGCTCTGGTTAAATGGAAGGGTTATGATGATGATTTCAACAGCTGGGTTCCTCTCAAGGATTGACAAGCTATTTAAATTGATTTATTTAAAATTTGGTAAGATATTTGAAAAATCGGTTTGAACCAGTTTATTTTTTAATCCGCAATTTTGAATTTTGATTTTGAATTTTTTTAACCATGGATTGTTAAAAAATTTTCACTGAAAGTGTCAATTTTTATGAGATCATTTGAAAAGGTCTGATTCCCCCATGTACTATACTACTTTCCTCCATTGATAACCACAATTATGCAAACCATTTTCTTCAACTGCAGTTTTCAAAATTTCAAGGATAGTTGCTGATTTGTTGTTACAACTGCAGTGTAAATACATAATATGCCTTGAGTATCAATCTATGCCACCATGTACTGCAAATTCCCACCTAAATATAAATTAGACGAGGTTCCTTGATATCAGTCATCACCACAAGCGCAGAAAGACAAATATTTTAGGGATGGTAAACACTTTAAAGGTACATCAATTGTGCATGCATATACAAAATGAATAATTTTTCAAAAATCATGCTGAACTGCCTGTTTAGCTTTGCTCTTCCTTGGTGAATGAGTAACATTTCTTGGATAAAGCAGCCTAGTTTTCCACGCATGGAAAAATGTTCATCAGTTATTAAGGGTCTTAAGGTTTTGACACCATGATCAATCATATGTTTGCCAAAGAGATAAGTAGCTACCTTATTGATTTGTGGTCAATATGCCACAGTGAAGAGAGGCCTGGATAAAGTATGTTCTACATCTGACTGCTGTAAGCAAATATGATCCCACTGCACATTATGACCTCTCGCATGAAGGTGTCCACATTGAAGTCTTCTTTGTACTCTTACTACATTGTTCTAGGTGGATTTCAGTATTATACTTACAAGTTCTCTTAATTTACTGGTATGTTAATATCACTATCACGAAAACGATCATTTACTCGATTCAAGACGAATTCTATGCTATGGCGTAGGTAGCTCTTCAGAGGATCCATTATTCGCCAGCAAGGAGCAAATTATGAATACCATATTAATGAGTCATGTAGTAAGAGTGAATGGAATCAAGTAACATACCATACCGGTAGTTGAATGATAGTACCTCTGAGTGGGTGAATCGAAACGACGAAGCGACATAAAATGATGAAACACCATGACGAAACGACAAACAACAACGAACCGATGTGGTCGGTGATACGTCGGACTCGTAAAATGACGAGTCGAAGAGGCTAGCCAATGAATCTAACTGACAAGACGAAGAAATGATGACTTGACTTCTGAAACGGCAAGTCGACCTGGAAGTTCGAGGAGTCGAACTCAGAAAACAACGACTCGACTAGAAGTAACGGAGTGCGGAAACGACGAAACGCCATGACTAAACGACGAGTCCAACATTTTGTCCACGATCTATCTTCATATTCAATTGAAGCAGTTAAAATTTTATTTCATGTTAAGATTGTACCATGTGAAATCCAAATGACAGTTGGGAAGTTTATTAGAGCTGTTGCTTTGCTATAATTCATCTTGGTATGCTTAGATTTTTTAACACTAAGTACTTTTAATCCATAGAAGTGGTACATTGTCTTATTTCGTTTGCTCCTCTAATGAGACAGAACTCTTTTTAAACCTCACGTATCCCCTCCTTAAAACCCTTTTAATTGAATAACTCCCCTATTAATACCGCAAAAACTTTAAACAACCTTAAACTTGACACAGAAATGAATTCTGCAAAATCTTGCATCCTATTTCCCACAACCAGGTGTGTATTTTTCTTCAACAAACACACTATTTTTTTTTTGTTTAGATGAAGGCAAAAAAGGTTTAGGCAAATATGTTTGGTCCGGGAAAGATTATGCCGTGGGCTTTGTAGGAGGTACACTAGCAGTAGCTGCTGTCCCACTCGTCCTTTCCTCTTTAGGCTTCACAACCACAGGTGTTGCGGCAGGTTCAGCTGCTGCTGCTATCCAGTCTGCGGTATATGGCGGGAGTGTTACTTCAGGCAGCATATTTGCAGTACTTCAAAGTTTAGGCGCAGGTGGCTTAGGAATGAAGGCATCTAGTCTTGTCTACAACTTTGGTTCTGACATGGCTATTTACTTCATGAAAATGGTTGCTCCAGATGAAGAGGAATCAAAATGTTCCTGAGACCGGAGTAATCTGGACAGTTGAATGAACTTATATTTGTAATTGACTGCATATAGGTGCATAAAGGATCAGCACATGTAAATATGCGCTATATAAGTTGGAAATAGTACTAGTTAATAAAATGTAAGCCATTTTTCTTGATAAAGGAGATATCTGTAAATTAATGAAACAATTTTTTGAGCCAAGTTATTAACCAGGTTTTTTTTCACTTAAGTGTGAGGTTTACTTGAAAGCTTACTCTTTACTTGAGAAAAAATAGGTGCGATTTGTGTAAAGTGGCTATAGCCTTTTTCTCTCATTGCAGGATCAAAATGAAGGGGGCGAATAGGGATACGAAAATCTGGTGATCTGCCATAATTCGATAACAAAATCCGTTAATCCGTTAAAAAAATTGTTAAATCCAAATCCGTTTCCACTTGTCACGTGGAAAGGTGAAAAACGCGCTTTGAGCTGTTGTGTGTTGAAACAATTTTTAAAAAATAGGTCCGCCATGCGTAAATGTGTCTAGTGCTGAGTAATGTGTATATGGTTATACAGGATTGCGTTAGACTTAGTGAACGCAATTAGGATTTATCTGTCATAGAGTACAGGTGTGGAGGCTATACCTTATCAAAGTCTATCGCTGGAAAATGTACTATATATATCTTATTAACCAAGTGCGAGGGCCATACTGGGAGAATATCGGCCAGAGGTCTTGACAGTACGGACCGAGCGCAGCGAGGTCCATACAAAAAAGACCGAGGGCCGATATTCTTCCAATACGGTCCTGAGCAAGCTTGAGGGATTTATTTTACGACTGAAGTTCAAAGGGACACAAGTGCAGTATCATTCGGGACAGTGCCCGGTCCAATACTTAGAGAATATTGGACCGGCAATAGAGCATTTTGATTGGTTGATTTTAGTTATTGGCCCTCTGACCACCCGAGTCGTGTAATAAGGTTACATCATTACCCATTAGCAAATCTTCTGCATTTGATTTTGTGTCAATGCAGAACTTCTTCATTTTCACTGGGGAGTTTGCTTGGCTCAGGCTTGTAAACCTTTTCAGTTTTGGTGGCGAAAAACACACTCTCGGACAGTTTTTTCTTTACCTTGAAGTTGACGGTCAAACATATTTCCCTTTTCCAGTGGAGAAATATTGTGTACGTATCCCACAAACTCTGTGGTTGCCTGATCACATAGGTTTTTCTGTGTAGCAGATTCATCAGGTATTTGATCACTATTCACTCTCTGTCCAGTACCACTGGGTATTTGGTCAGCCATGTTCACCTGTCTCGCAGTGCAAGATACTAGTATCTGAAATTGAAAGAAAAAGAGAAATTTTCAAGAAAAAAAAAGGGAAAAAGGAAAGAAATATGAGGATTGGTGATAAAAATATACATACCTCGCAAAACAACTGGAAACATGTAAAAACATCTGCTTTCTACAAATTGTTAAGTTGAGTTTTCGAAGTTGTATTACAGTGCTATAGGGCTTTGCTAAATCTATATATCACTGTGCACACTACTTCAATTTCATCATGTTCCTAGACATTTATGAAATGTTTGTTTTACAACAAAGTCACGTTGTTTGAATAAATGCACATATTGCTTTATGTTCCGTGAAATCTGTTTCTAAAATGTGTACATTGACTACTGATTCCAGCATATTAGATATGGCCTATGGTGGTCCTGTTATCAGTAGTAGAGCATGAAACTAATTGTCTGTAATTATGGTCTCTCACGAACAAGTTATGAACTGTGGTTTTGTCTTTTTGAATTAACCAATTGACTTTAAAGTCGCCAATAAAGATATAGAAATCAGAATACAGACGTTGGCAAGAGTTCCATATAACCCCATATATTAATCATGCATAGAGTGTTGCAAAGAAACCTTTATATTTCGTCTTTATGAAATGATTGCATAATTAATGCATGGGGTTATATAGAACTCTTTTGCAGACGTTTTACCTGTACTTTGTAATGCCTATCAAATTCACTCTCACACGGCGAGCACACCTCCTCATCAGTGCTAACCATCGTATGGGAAGATTCTTAACAAGATTACGACTTCTAGTATGACTTTGTCGGAAGGAAGGAAATCGCCACGGTTTCTGGATATGTTTAGCTGATGAAAGGTATTTTCGCATGAGAAATCGCCACAGCTTTCGTATAATTTTGACTAATGAAAAGTATTTTCACATTAAATCCTTCAGCCGCGAAAGCTTTTCTGCCGTAACTTACATTTGCCTGACAGGGCTTATTTAATCCCTCAACTGGCTTTATTATCCCCAAAAGGGGCTCAATATTTCCCATAACGAGCTGTTCTTACCCCAAATGGGGCTCATAAAGCTTAATTTGTATCCTCTTCGCAGGCGGTCACAAAATAGCACCATAGAGATTCGGTCGGTGCCAAGTACCTTGATCTTCAACTTTGAAGTACCTTTCGAAACCTTTCATTGGGCCGGATTGACACATACTTTGAAAGCTGTGGCATACTGAGAAAATACGTTTTAAGAAATTCATCTCAAAGTAAGAAACTTAACAGGTAACTTACTGATAGGACAACTCGTATCACACACGTGGAAGAAAACAACGAAAGCAAATCGTCGGAGTTTCCTTGCTGTAGTCGGGAGTTGTCGTGGAAAGCACGTGGTGTCGAGGCAATAATCGTCTCTACTAATACACATTCGATAGGTTCCGATTGTCATTGGTTGTTTATTTCGGGTTACTAAGAAATTACGAGTGATTATCGATGATATTACCCTCTTGGTACCCATTAAAGAATGGTTCATTTAATGCGTCACGTAGGAAAATCCTCAGAGAAACTTTATTCTTATAACGTAATAATTTGCCATATATGAAGTGCTTACCCTAGGATTTTAGCGTTTTCTCACAGTGTCTGTGCTTCGCACCAGACACAAAAACATGCTGACACTTTATGGGATCTTTAACTGCTACCTAAAAGATCTACCTTTACATTAGAAATCTGTTATTGATTCTGATTTGTCGTCCAAAGCGTGTCGTGGCTCCTAATACGAGAATGGACAGTCTGTCAAGTTCAGGAATGCTTGAATCTCCATCTTCTGGTTCTTCGTCTTCGTATGTACTTGAGTCGTACTCTGGGACTTCCTCCACATTCTCGGGGTCACTACTCTTACTCTCACCTGTACAGATCACTTACGAAATCACTTCCAAATATACTCTGTGAAAAACTCCCGGGAAAAGTGGACAATATCAGTGCCAAAGACCACAGCTTTCTTATCGAGCCAATTGCAACCAGTACGACACAGTGTCACGGATAAGAGTGCGAGCACAGCAGACATCCCGCTGACGACATGTCACAGCGTCCTGCTGGCCATAGTGACCCTCTCTATGTGTGCTCACGTTTTCTTCGCGATTTTTTTGCAAATCTTCATCTTTTTTAGGAAGATCTTGGTTTTTTTTAATTTCGGATTGAAATGGTTTAAACGTTTATTCAATGTTATTCACAGCTAATAAATATTTCACTTCAATAGCAAATTGCATAACTCACTGTTTATATTCACGAAAAGCAATATATCAGTTATTGAAACAATTAAGGGTCGTTGGATTCTTTGACGACGTTCTGTTTGGTAAGTGTACTATGCCATTTACGACATTTGAAGACTGGGTTTTCTTTATGCGATCCCATAAGCTCGTAGCTTAACATTAATGTAATCATTAATAACATTAAGGTAACCATTAATGTCATTATTGATTACATTATCAATGGACTGTTTTTGTCGTTTTCCGCCTTGTAATGGCATCATGTGGTTTCGCGGTAGCGACTGTAAACCACTGTTGACACCGTTGTCAAAATGGCAATGAAATGTGGTCAAATGCCAGTAAAGAAGTAAACAGGATCGTGTTCGACTTTATTTGGAATCACAAACCCGCCAAAATAAAAAAGACTACCCTTTTCAAACAAAAAACAGCTGGTGGCTTGGAAATGAGGGATTTTTCTCTCTTTGATAAAGCACTAAAGTTAAACTGGGTAAAACGGTTATGCTCTAACTCGGATGCTCCATGGCAGTACATACCAAAATCCCTCCTAGCCGATGTTGGCGGTACAGAACTGTTTAAATGTAACTATGATTATAATCTCCTTGACCTAGACAACCATCTTCCTCCTTTCTACAGAGAAATCATTTTTTACTGGCAGGACATTGCAACGACCACACCTAAAAATAAAACTGAGGTTCTCTCACAGCCAATCTGGAATAATCGATTTTTAACTGTGAATAAGAAAACGGTATTCTTTCCTCATTGGCATCAAGCTGGAATAAAACAAATCTCGGACCTTTTTGACTCCTGTGAGGGTCAATTCCTTTCATTTAATTCTTTTCGCAATAAATTCAATGTAAAATGTAACTTTTTGCAATATTATAGCATTCTTTCTTCTATTCCACAAAATTGGAAAAAACTATTGCAAGAAAATTCCCAAGACCCAGTTACGCCTCCTACCTCAACCTGTTCACTCTCATGTAAAGCAATATACAGTATCCTGCTTAACCTCGAAGATCTACCGCCACCAACTTCTGAGAAAAAACTTTTAATGTCTGGCATCGAGAAAAGTGACTTGAACAAAATCTACCTCCTACCATTCAAAGCCACGAGAGAAATTAAATTGACAATGTTTCAATACAAAATTATTCACCGAATTTTACCAACGAATAGCTTGTTACATAAAATGAAAAAAGTTGCATCGCCCTCCTGTCCCTTTTGTCCATCTGAGCACCAGACCGTCTGGCATTTGTTTATAAACTGTAAGCAAGCAAGTTCTTTTTGGAATAGATTCCAGGAGTGGTACTCAACCTCTAGTAATATGAAACTGTCACTGTCAGAACTGGAGATTATGTTCGGAATTATTCGCTGTCACACCTACTGTTTAGCCCTCAACCATCTCATTATTCTAGGCAAATATTTTTTATATGTTAACGCTTTAAATACCATAAATTGCCGTTTCGATGATTTCGTCTCACTTGTGCGCGACAAAATTTATCTAGAAAAATATATTGCTGTCACTTGTAATAACGAGAAGGAGTTCAGGAACAAATGGAAATTTTTTCTGT